TCCAAATGTAAGGTTTTGGATTTTGAAATGAAAATGAATAATATACCCCATAAATATGCTAAAATAGATGCTGAGCGTGTTTCAATTAAAAAAATTTAACATGTTTAATATATGAATTAAAGGAATATGTTGGCGTAGAAGAAAATGATGTGCTAAGCGATGTTATCGAACCTGTTGCGAGTGAGTATATTGATGGATTAAAATTATATCAACATAATAAAAATGAAAATGAAATGTCCATTACACAAGAAATACAGAATGATTTATTGAGGCAGATATTAGAGACGCGTATTAAGATTGAAAACTTAGATGTAGAACAAGTAGCCATTGTTTATGTAGTAGACACACAACTTACTGATTATCAAAATATTAAAGATGAAACAATTAAAAGTAAAGAAAAAGGATGTATTTTTGAGATTACAATTCGATATCTTGAGTGTATATGATCAGTTGTTGAACTATATGAATGAATTGTGTGTATTTGGTGTAGATGAGGCAAGTTTAAATATGATATTTTTTGAATATTTGTGGCGTATCCAAAAGGAGTGTTTAATTATTGATGAATATTTAAAAGAATATGTTACATGTAGAAAGGTACTTGATGATGCTGCTAAAGTAGAAACGGATAAATATAAAGAAATTTTTGATTCTGTTTGTGACATAGGTCAGGATCGTGATATAATATGGCAAACTATTGTAGATTGTTTAAATAAGGGTCAAAGTAATGAAATAATCATTGGATATTTAAAAACATTGGAGGATGAACTGAAAATAGGGTACAGTAGAGTTCTACAACTCAATCAGGAGCGTGGACAGATTATTGAAAGCATTTGCCAAAGTACTAATGATTCACCTGAACCTATGACACGTGACAAGTGTGATGAATTGATTCAACAAGTGGAAATTTATAATAAAGATGAATATTATAAAAATAAATATTTGAAGACCATTGAAACTGATAATGTACGAGATCGTGAAAAAAAACCGTGATAAATTTGAACATGAGTTTTATGATAAATTTCTAAAATCTATAGCCGAAGATCAGGGTTTGGATCATTATTGAATATGGGATTTCATTCATGGGTGCATGGAATGTGGGTGGTGTGATGATGAAATCTATAAACATTTAGAAAATTTTGAGCGTGATATAAAATGGAATCGTGGGATCTATGGCGAACGGGATCGGGCGATTAGACGAATCTGTATAGCCACTAAAGATTTGGGTAAACCTGAAACACGTGTAACCTGTGATGCCTTGATTGATGAATGGTATCGTAAAGGTTATAACAACCAAAAGGTTAACGATTTGTTATGGGATATGGTTCGTGATAATGAGAGAAAGTGGGATAAAAGACGTAATCTAACAAAATCTGAAGTTATTGAACGTCAACATATAGCCAATGAAGCAGGGGAATGTCATGCTCAATATGTAAGAAATATAGAAGAAAGAGAACTTATAAAACGTGAAGAACAAAAAAAATGGAATTATGACTATCGTAGATTTGAAAATAGACAAAAATTTAATGACGCTATGGAAAGATATTAATTCAGATATGGATGTTTTTAGACGAATTTGTATGAAATGATTTATTAGAAGATCCCATATATGAATTATTTAATATAATATTAGCATTCTATCATGTGTCATGATTGCAAAATGTATCAAGTGAAGTTATCATTCAATCTTATTGGTATATTCGTTGTTTTATAACCCTTTTCTATAAATAAATACAACAGTTATAAAGCAACTCATAAAAGTATAAAAGACAAAAAAAAATGCATCTTTACCCCTATTATTTGTCATCTTTTACAGTATAGAATCATTTATATTGGTGTCAAAAGAAAATCAAAAAGTCCAAAAAAAATATTGGTATACACTGAAATATAAAATAGTGCATACAATACTACTTGCATACGATAGGAACTGGTTCAACTACCCCGTTCATAAA